CGGCCTCTGCCCCGCCCCCGGGCGGGAGGGACACTTCCTTATCTACTTGCCGTTTTGGTATCGGTTCAGCTCTTCTGGTTCCTAACGTCTGTGGCGCCTAAGACAGCTTTCTTCTCTTTCCCTCAGAGACCTAGACAGTAAAATGTCTGCTTAGGGCGCCCCCGAGTTCAGGCCCGGGCAAAGCCTACACGGTTTAGTCCTTGTGTTCCCGACTTACTAGAACAGGTCCTGCTAACGGAAGACTCCCAGAGTCCCCAAAGGGCCGCCCACAACCTCTGCCCTCAAAAACGAGAATTCAGTATTACTTTCTAAGCCCAGCATGACGGTAAAATTGTTTTTACAAGCGCAGCACGCCTGTAATCCCAGCACCTAGAGACTTGAGGGCAGCGGACCCAGGCCTGAAGGCCAGCATCCTCCACAAAGCGAGTTCGGGGCCTACATTAAAGTCACCAAGAAATTATTTAAAAATTAAAATCTTTAAAAAAAGAAAAAAAAGGAGAGAGTGCGAGAAGTAACTCAGGAGAGCCCTTACCTAGCCCACTGAGGCACTGAGTTCCATTGCCAACGCCACAGAAAAGAACAAAGCAATAGGTGGCAGATTGGTCAGAGACCTCCTGCCCCGGGAGAATCTTCCCGCAGAATGAGAAGCCCGCGTGAGAAGCACGAGGGTAGAGCTCTAGAGAACATTCTGGAAAGGGGGCGTGGCTTATAAGGCAGCAAACGACCGTTAGGGGCTTTAGCCAATCAGGGTGCAGCAATTGAAGCCCAGCGCGAGGCGACCGTTATTTTTCTTGCTTTATGGGTTTCCCCCACCCATTTCGTCAAAGGTTTCTTTCAAAATCAAAGCTACAAAAAACGGTTTCAAATTAAAAGTATTATGTGTATGGATGGTTTTTAAAACAGCGCATTTATGTGATAAAAAAAAAACAACAACACTCTGGATACCTAACTGAAATTTTAAAAAATGAGAGGATAGACACTGTCCGAACTCCCATGTTCCTGATGATACAGATCCTTTCAGAATTCGTTACACAGATTTCAGATTTCAGCTATATACCGTGTTGTTTTATTCATGAAAGAACATAAATGCTAAGTTACTCATTGAGTTTAAGAAACATTATTCTGGGGCTGGAGAGATGGCTCAGAGGTTAAGAGCACTGACTGTTCTTCCAGAGGACTCGGCTTAAATTCCCAGCAACCACATAGCAGCTCACAGCTGTCTGTAACCCAGTTCCACGGTACCCAACACCTCATGCAGGCGAAACACCAATGTACATAAACTGAAAAAGAACAAAAGAAACATTAGTCTGGAGCTGGAGAAATAGCTCAGTACTTATGAACACTTACTGTTCTTTCAGAGAACCCAAGTTTAATTCCTGTCACCTACGCCGCTGCTTACACCTGTCTGCAACTCCATCCTAGGTGATCCGAACAGATGCCCTCTTCAGGCCTTCTCAGACACTGCCACTGCAAGTGGTGCATATACAATCAAGCAAAACATTTATAAAGATAATATGAAAAGCAAAACAAAACAAATAAAAAAAAACCTTCTGAATTGTGAACACATGGACTTATTGTTAAAACAGGGTGGATTACACCCGGGGACGTCCCAGAATAGTTATAAGGAGCACAAAAATATGATTTGTCTTCATATGAAATCAGAACCAAAAAGTTTTAGGCTGGCACAGATGTTTTCCATGTAATAGTATATTTGTCCTTATAAATAAAGCATGATTTTTACTACTTCTTTTGGGGATGAAAATGAAGGCAAATATTTCCTGTGGCCCACAAAATGTCTCTGAAGCCTCCGTGACTCTTTATAATTTTCCCCTCCCCCATGTTTATTTATGAACAATCTAAGTCTACAATTTTTTGGGGGGGCGGTTTAGAGACAGGGTTTCTCTGTGGCTTTGGAGCTGTCCTGGAACTAGCTCTTGTAGACCAGGCTGGTCTGAACTCACCGAGATCCGCCTGCCTGTCGGATGCTGGGATTAAAGGCGAGCGTTCGCCCCTGCCACCGGCACCACAGCGCGGCAGAGTCTAACAAACTTTAACATTGGATAATTGGATTTTACCCTCAATCGTAGCACTTGGGAGATGGAGGCAGGAGGATCTCCACATGTTCCAGACAAGCTGGGGCTACAGAGTGAATTCCAAGCCAGGTAGGATGCAGAGTGAGACCTTATCTCAAAAAGCCAAATAGGAGTTTGGAGATGGCCAGATGCCCCAGTGTCACGGAGAAGATTCATGCTGCTCTTAGCCTTGGCCAGAGAAGCTGCTTCTTGCAGCAGGTAGCAGTTAATGCAGAGACTCATAGATGGCCAAAATGCCCAGTATCATTCAGTCTCGGATGTAGGTGGTCATCTACATCGACCCCCCACCACCAGCCAAGGCTCAAAGAAGGCAGAAAGAATGTAAGAACCAGCAGGTGGGAAAGAAAGCTGTGAGATGCTGACTCCTGAACACCGCATGACTAGTGCAGGCATAAAATCACAGCATTTGTGGTTACCAGCACAACATCAAGCCAATCAAAATTCCAGCGCTGGGGGTGGGGGGACGACCCGACCCAAGGCCCCACCCATATTAGATAAGCTATTGGCAGTTGATGGCAGTTGAAGGAAGGAAGAGTCACTCAGTCACTCTCCTTTGGGGGAATGTGACTGCTGGTAGGAGACTTGTTTTCTGGTGGATGGCCACACACCCATGTGCATGTGGGAAGTTCTAACTGGACTCAGGATGATTGATAACAACAAATAAGAATAAAGAGGCTAAGAAGCTGGGAGAGGGAGCACTAGAGGAGCTGGAGGAAGAAATATCAATATGCACTAATATGTGACGCTTCTGAATAATAAAATACATTATTTTTAGCTAAATAAAGTTGACCCTAAGAAGTTGAAGAGCCCAAACTGTGTTCAAATGCTAATCCCAAAGACGCAAGGAGAAAGACCACTGACCCAATTCATTATGGCCAAATTAATTAAAGCAAGCATTAATTAGTGCAAGGTTTTTATTTGTGTACATGGGCTAACTTTTGAAGAAAAAGAGGAGCAGATGAGACATGTTAACCAGTTTATTATTAGGCCCGGCAGAGTAGGGAGACTAAGAGGAACAGGGGTAATCGCTGACCACCATGGCCGGTCGCCATAGAGAGAGAAAAGAAGCAGAAGCAAACAGAGAGTGAAGAAGAAGCAGAGAGAGCCAGGCGTTGGTGGCGCACGCCTTTAATTCCAGCTCTCAGGAGGCAGAGGCAGGCAGACCTCTGTGAGTTAGAGGCCAGCCTGGTCTCCAGAGCAAGTGCCAGGATAGGCTCCAAAGCTACACAGAGAAGCCCTGTCTCAAAAACCAAAAAAAAAAAAAAAAAAAAAAAAAGGGGAGGAGGAAAAAAAAAAAAAAAAAAAAAAAAAAAAAGAGAGAGAGAGAAAGAAGAAAGAAAGAAAGAAAAAAAGAAGCAGAGAGAGTGAAGCAGGGAAGTTGGAACTTTTAAAGGGAAGACTGGATGCTCACTGAGGTTCCACGCATGCCCAGAGTCCTCACGCAGGCTGTAAATGAGTGGTGGGTGATGTGGTGATAGCACATGGGTGATGTGCGTGCCCAGACTGTTGTCAGGGAGCAGGGGTCTGTCCCTTAAGAGGTAGAGCCGATCAGCATTAAAGCCTGAACCTTTCATTCATAAGGCAGTGTTGAACATGTGCAAGATAAGGTTTCTATAATTCGGGGATAAGGGGTTTCCAAATGGGATTTGGTAGGCAAATAGATGGGGTTACAGAAGCAGAGCGTAACAAGGGAGTCATAACAATAGGTGGTTATAACAGCCTTTGAAACAAAGGTAGGGGTGCAATATGATCAAAAACAAAGACTTTCAAAACAAAGACTTGGTTGCTGTTTCCTGGAACAGGTAACACAGAACCATTTGTAGTTAACGCTATAGGTGGAACATACCCCAATCTTTGAGAAACAAAGGTTTAATCATAAACAGGAATGAACCTAGTTTGTCTTTATTATAAGATAGCTTGGGGTTGGAGAGATGGCTCAGCGGTTAGGAGCACTGACTCTTCTTCCAGAGGTCCTGAGTTCAATTCCCGGCAACCACATGTTGGCTCACAACCACCTTGAATGAGATCTTGTGCCCTCTGCTGGCATGCAGGCCGAAGACTGTATACATAATAAATAAATAAAATCTTTAAAAAAAAAAAGAAGAAGAAAGAAAGCTTTAAGCCAGATGGTGGTGTTGCACACCTTTAATCCCAGCATTCAGGAAACAGAAGCAGGTAGATCTCTGAGTTCCAGGCCAGCCTGGTCTACAAAGTGAGTTAGGATGGCCAGGGCTACACAGAGAAACCCTGTCTCAAAATAAACAAATGGCAAGCACAGCATCTCTTTTTTTTTTTTTTTTTTTTTTTTTGGGGGGGGGGGGGGGGGGACCAACCTGGGTGGTGTGCAGATGATATACATGGAAGCAGAATGTTGTATACATGATAAATAAATAAAATCT